ACACACACACACACACACACACACACACACACACACACACACACACACACAAACATGGCTATAAAAGCTAAATATCTCAAAAAGTATAAACTTCTGATGCAACAAAAGCCAAACATTTTGATAAACAAATAGTTGAAAAAGCACAAAAAAGGCAGAACAATTTACATWACAAAAAACTTCTTTATAAGCGTTCACACTATTGAGATTTAAAAAAGAATGTAAACAATCTGAATCTTCAAACTGATGCTGGTTATTTGTGAAAAACTAATTAGTCTGTAACCATCCAAGCTTTTTGTTTCTGCTTTTCTGTGTTTGTTAGCAAAAAATCTCTTGAACCACTGGCTGGATCTTCATGACCAACTGTTTGATTTTAGAAGTCAGCCTATAAGTTAAGATGGCCGCCGCAGCTAACTGACTCTTCCCAACTTCAATATGACTATAGTTGAGTCAAATTTAATGAGCTAAAGTGAGTGGTAGTAGTTGATAGTTATCCTAAGCACAAACTTTGAGCTTTAACACATCTTGTGAGAAGCCATATGTCGGCCATCTTGAATCAAAACAACCATGAAAGTGTGAATGTTTGTCTTTTAAGTCTTTTCATTTTTGTGGGTTATGGTTAGAGTTGTGCTTCTTTCACAACAAAAACAAATTACAGCCTAATCTTAAATCTGTTCTTCAGTCTGATCTGAAGAAACATTTATTTCCACTCTGCCAAGTCGTCCCTCAGTGAGGACTGCAGCTGAAACCGTCTGAGGTTCTGCAGAGCTAAAGCAGGAGCTGGAAGCATTTCAGCTCTTGGTCAGAAGGAGGCTCATTTACTGCTTATTTTTTTCCCAGCTCTGTAACTTGTCCAAACTGAGGCCTCGGCTGGTGAAATATGGACGGGGATTTATTCTTGTCATCTGCCAAAATAAATCACAGCTCTCAGTGTCAGTAAGGAGAACCAGAACAGATTTTTGTCTCTGCCCCTTGTGCCCCATGCCTACGAGTTGCCCAACCATGCATTCTGTATTCAGGATGAGCTGCAACCAAAACCCTAAACATCAACACCACTGCTTTCTATTTTTGAACACAGTCACATAATTCATTTCTTTCCCTTCAGTCACTGACATTCCTTCAGCTTTTCTGTGTTTAAACATGAAATGTTTCAAGAATCCTCTCTGTCGTCCACAGGTTGAGCTGCATGTACACCTGGATGGAGCCATCAGGGTTCAGACTATTCTTGATGTTGCCAAGTAGGTTGACTTACTTTCATTTTATTGCACGCAATATTTTAAAATTACGTTTTATCATTTTAAAAATTCGTGTTAAGACAGTAAAAGGTCTTTTGTGTGATTTGGAGTCATGTAGAAACAGTTCTGCAGGACAACTTTAGACACGTTGATACAGTAACACAGCTGCAGGACTGAAGTGTTCTTTTAGCCTGACTCCAAAATGTCACCAAAACCACCTACCCTTTGGACAGAGCAAGTTCAAATTTAGCATTTAAACTGATACCAAATTATAAAGATTAACTTTTGACAAATAGGGTTTAAACACATTGGGGACAGTTTTGCTCGAGACTCAAGTCCAGAAGATTTTTAATTTGTGTTCACACCTGACACATTTGGTCCACTTTAAACAGACCAGAGTTTGTTTCCCTCGTTGGTCCGGACCTTTTATGCAGGTGTGAATACACCCATGTGAACTCTGGAGAGGATCAAACCACCGGACCCAGATGGATTTTTGAGGTGGTCTTGGTCCACTTCCAAACTTACTCTGGTGCAACTTCTGGTGTGAATACAGACCAGACTGGAACCGAACCATCCGTCCATTTTCTTCTGCTTATCCGGGATTGGGTCGCAGGGCCAGCAGCCTATGCAGAGAGACCCAGACTTCACTGCAAAAACTGTCCATCTTACCAAGTTTTCAGAAAAAATAAGAAAAAATTGAGTCAAATCAAGTATTTCAAGAATCTTACCAAGTAAAATTTTCTTACTCCGTTGGCAGAAAATTTTGACTTATTTCGAGTCAAATATTCAGGTTAACAAGACAAATAATCTGACACTTTCTGAAAACAAGATTATTATTCTTACACAATCAGTTCTTGTTTAGTAAATCAGTCTCAAAACAAGATCAAAAAGACTTTTTGGCTGATATAAGGTTTTAAAACTTGGTTAGGTGGACATTTTTTGCAGTGCACTTGGGCCAGCTCGTCTGGGGGAATCCCAAGATGTTCCCAGTCCAGCTGAGAAACATAGTCCCTCCAGCGTGTCCTGGATCTCCCTCTGGATCTCCTCACAGTGGGACGGGCCTGGAACACCTCACCAGGGAGGCGTCCAGGATGCATCTTAACCAGATGAACCACCTCAACTGGCTCCTCTCGACGTGGAGGAGCAACGACTCTACTCTGAGTCCCTCCTGGATGACTGAGCTTCTCACCCCATCACTAGGGGAGAGCCCAGACACCCTGTAGAGGAAACTCATTTCTGCCGCTGTAGTGGGTTCGAACCGTCATTTCGGTCCAATGGGAGCAACGACCTGCGTGGCTTTGTCAATAAACTATAATTCACTTGGAAAAAGTACAATGTGAATGCAAACAGCACCAAAGGAAAAAAAAAGCAAGTCTGCTATTTGTTCCAGACCAAACAAGGACTTTCCTGGCGTGAATAGACTCTAACTCGGGTTTCTGGCTGAGTTTCTCCAGTATCTAAAGAGACACTGGAGATTTTGAGTTAAAAGGACCATGTTCCAGTTCAACATCACTGGAGCAACAGTACGGAAGTTATAATTCATCACTTCTTTCTCACTGGATTTTGGACTTCAAACCTTTTCCCAACAGACTAAAGGAGCTGATGTATCCAAGCTTTGCGTGTGTGAAAAAACACTCTGAAAGCTGATTGATTAACCATGGGCACTGGAGATGCACCGAGGGATCGGCCTGAAACCAAGCGGGAGACTGGCCAAACAAATAAAAAAAATGTGGTATTTAAATGGTCAGTTCTGAGAAATCCAATATTTTCTTTGGTCTGTAAATGCACCATCTGCACAGGACAGAAAACAAGCATGTGGTCTGTGTTGTCAAGAGACTTTCTCACTCGATTTAGCCAGTTTTAGCCTTTTTAACCAACTACAGTCAAATCTATATACCTTTTCTGGTGTTTGGAGTCTTTAATGCACTGCAAAAACTGTCGATCTAACCAAGTTTTAAAACCTTATATCAGCCAAAAAGTCTTTTTGATCTTGTTTTGAGACTGATTTACTAAACAAGAACTGATTGTGTAAGAATAATCTCGTTTTCAGAATGTGTCAGATTATTTGTCTTGTTAGTCTGAGAATTTGACTCCAATTAAGTCAAATACAGTATTTCTGCCAATGGAGTAAGAAAATTTTACTTGGCAAGATTCTTGAAACAAAAAATTGAGTCAAATCAAGTATTTCAAGAATCTTACCAAGT